CCCCCAAAACCCCAAAACCCCAAAACCCCAATATTTACAAAAAATATTGAAATAAAATGGAACATAAGGAAGAAAATAGTGCAAATGATTATTTATCAAAAAGGTAAAACCTATTTTGACACCTAGGACCATGAATTTGCCCCGATCACTGATAGACTGGTTCAGGAGCCGTCATAAAGATACAACCAAGCAGCAATATTTGTTGACGCCAGATGAAATAGAGATGCATAAAGCTATTTCAGATGTATTTTACAAGTATTTATACGTTAAAAATTATAGATATGATGCTGACAACTCTAATACTCTCGAACTAGTTGAGTTAAAGGAACTTTTTGACTCATATAATATTGATATCACCATGAAACAGCTCAAATTCATGTTCAGTCTTGTAAAGCACAAGAACCCTGGGAAACTAGATTTGGAAGAATTTAAAGCCTTTCTAATGAGCAAAGAAGTGAACCAAACTTTTAGAAAAATAATGAAGAGGTTACGTGAGTAAGCCTGATCAATTGACACTTCTAGACGTGAGCCCTATAAGCATCCTGAAAATAAAGCAATATTGCTTCCATATAGCTTTGCAAGTTTATTAAACTTTTTGGCTTCTAAGCTAAAACAGAGTCAATTAAGAGATGAGATCTTCTCAGAGAAAGAGCTTGACCCTGATGAATGAATCAAAGATTCTGTCAGATTCCAGAAGTTAATCAATGAGGTATACCAGAATAACCTCAATTCAGAACTTGATAATAGAGCACTTGAGACATTGTAAGTGCACTAACTGAAGCTTTAGAAAGCACTATATTGATCATGAACATAAAAAAAGAAGTTGTAAAATAAAATACAGCCTGCCAAATAACTTCACTCTGGATGAAAACGATTTCAACCGTCAAAAAGACTTTTCTTCAAGAATGCTGATGAATAACATGCTTAAAGAAAAGAACAGGCAAAATATCTATAAATCAACTTTCAAAGGTATAAAATCTAATTTCTGCAAATCACCGTTCCTATATATCCCTAATTTTCAGCAAAAATAGTCTAAAACTACAGCTAAACTCCTCTTACACACTATGCACCCCTTTCCTTCCTTTAAAACCCTCCTAAGTCTCTTATTTTACCCTATTTCCCATAGCTCCAGCCCGCACTCACAGTTCATCTTCCAAAAATCTTCAAAAACTTCACCAAAGCTTTGCTTCAGTCTCTTCAAAATCTTCACACTCATCAAATTCCCCAAAACCTTTGAAACTTAGCAGTGAAGCTCAGGCTGAAATTCCGAAGGAGATTAACAAATGTACGACCACAGTAGGTTTTTAAAATCAGATTTTGGAGTTAAACGGCGCCTGAAGGGGTCTGACAAAGGGAAAATTTATTGGTGATTTAGGAAAGCTGGGACATTTTTAAAGGATTTGGAAGGTTTAGAGGACCAGAATTGGTAAGTTTGGGGAGGAAGTATGGGGAATAAGCAGTTGAGAGTAACTCTTTCATGCTTGATATTGAAGTCGTTGTGTTATAGAACTGGTAAACCTATTTTATTCATCAGCTTTAGTAAGATTATACAGAAAGCAAAACAAGAGACCAAGGAAATAGAACCTTGAAGAAGACAAGATTGAAATCTACAATTCTTTACTTCCTAACAAATGAAAGCAGGTTAAAAAGAACTCTAGTTTTGGCAGACCAATATCTACATTAGTTAATTCAAAATCGAGGAATTTTAATATGAAGAAGAGTAATTTGACTGGAGTACATAAGGGATTTCAAACAAGTAAAACTAAATAGAGTAATGTTCAGAACAATTGCCTACAACTATCAGTTCCCCGTTAAACGAGGTAAGAGGGATATAAATTTCTGAGGTTTTAACTGCCTTTAAAAGTATATCTGATTTTTTTTTGCATTCAAAGATTTCCCTGGTTGAGATATTAAAAATAACCCAAAAAGTTAGTTTTTACAAGAATATTAAAATTATTTGCTCTAGGGAGTAATGAAATCAACTATGCATCCTTTCAGAGGAATCCAGTAAGTGTTTGAATTTTCAAATGTGAAGATAGAAAAATAAATAATAAATCTTATTAACAGAACTTTTAGTGAATTTCAAAGCAATCAAACCCCATTCAACTACAAACTATCAAGATGTAGCATGGACTCTAATCTAAAATGAAGAAGAAATATTAGTGTAACCTATTTACCCATCTTTAGACAAAAGGAATATTTGGCTCAAAGCATACCCCAAACCGTCGATCAAGTATCTGCCCTCTAACCCTGTAGAAATCATCCAACTCCCAAAGCCATCACTGAACTCCAAGGCTCCTTTCAAGAAGAGTAAATTCAGCACTGTATTTCCTCCTCTCACCTCTAGATCACCTGCTCTGAAGGGACACTTCGGTCAATCCTGGGTTGCAAAGTCATTGACCAGAGTAAGTCCCAATTTGAGAACCTCACTAAGCGGTACTTCCTTCTGTAACAATAGGATCAACAAGATGTGTAAGAAAAACGACCAGACCTCAAAGCAAGCCAAGCTGGAGAATTCTCTTCGTACAAAATTCTCAAGGAATTCAAAATCTAGGAAGAAACTTATGTTCAAGTCTTTACCCGTTCTTTAAAGTCAATTGTAGATCCTTCTTGGGGTTTTGGGGTTTTGGGGTTTTGGGGTTTTGGGGTTTTGGGG